TTGGAACTTTGCTTGAAGGTGATCTAAGACTTTGGATTTGGAACTTTGCTTGAAGGTGATCTAAGACTGTGGATTTGGAACTTTGCTTAAAGGTGATCTAAGACTGTGGATTTGGAACTTTGCTTGAAGGTTATCTACGCCTTTTGATTTGGAACTTTGCTTGAAGGTTATCTAAGACTGTGGATTTGGAACTTTACTTGAAGGTGATCTAAGACTGTGGATTTGGAACTTTTCTTGAAGGTGACCTAAAACTGTGGATTTGGAACTTTGCTTGTAGGTGATCTAAGACTGTGGATTTGGAACTTTGCTTGAAGGTGACCTAAGACTGTGGATTTGGAACTTTGCTTCAAGGTGATCTACGCCTTTTGATTTGGAACTTTGCTTGAAGGTGATCTAAGACTGTGGATTTCGAGCTTTGCTTGAAGGTGATCTAAGACTTTGAATTTGAACTTTGCTTGAAGGTGATCTAAGACTGTGGATTTGGAACTTTGCTTGAAGGCGATCTAAGACTGTGGATTTGGAACTTTGCTTGAAGGTGATCTAAGACTGTGGATTTGGAAGTTTGCTTGAAGGTGATCTACGCCTGTGGATTTGGAACTTTGCTTGAAGGTGATCTAAGACTGTGGACTTGGAACGTAGCTTGAAGGTGACCTAAGACTGTGGATTTGGAACTTTGCTTGAAGGTGATCTACGCCTGTGGATTTGGAACTTTGCTTGAAGGTTATCTAAGACTTTGGATTTGGAACTTTGCTTGAAGGTGATCTAAGACTGTGGATTTGGAACTTTGCTTGAAGGTGATCTAAGACTGTGGATTTGGAACTTTGCTTGAAGGTGATCTAAGACTGTGGATTTGGAACTTTGCTTGAAGGTGATCTAAGACTGTGGATTTGGAACTTTGCTTGAAGGTGATCTAAGACTGTGGATTTGGAACTTTCCTTGAAGGTGATCTACGACGGTGGATTTGGAACTTTACTTGCTAGTTTTCAACGCCTTTGGATTTGGAACTTTGCTTGGGAGTGATCTACGCCTGTGGATTTGGAACTTTGCTTCGGAAGTACAGGTTCCTGCACGAGTACGAGGGCAGTACCGCGGAATCCAGCTCGTGCCGCGATAGCGGCAAGGGCTGGATGAACAGCGGTACTGGCCGGGTGTAAGTGACTGGAATGTGTTTCCCGTGTGGACCCAAGCCCAATAAAGAGATACATGACAGACTTACCTGCACGAATTGTGTTTGTGTCTTGTAATTGTTTTCTGGTAGATCTACAGTTTTTTGTAGTAGCCCATTGTGCTTTTTTTCTCGTGGTGCCATTGACTTTGTCGATTGGGCATCGGGCATTCTGGCTGTTCTGTTCCTACGGATTTTCCCCAGGTCTTGATCGGAAACCTCGACAAATTGCGCGGATCCTGCAGGTTGCTGAGCATTGCGCGCTTTGGTTGAGGCTCATCCGGCTCGTCCAAGATCTCCTTCGCGAGCGACTCCGCAATAAAAGTTTCAGTCTCTTCCTCAACTTTTCGGAGGAGCTCCTTCACATCGCCAATATCGTTCAACAAGGGGGCTTCTTTTCTCCCAGTTCCAGATCAAATGTTGGAGCGCCATGATGACAGTTGTGGTTGCAAACAGTCGCTCTTCTGCTTTAGACTTTTGTAGTTATTTTATTACACAAGAGAGAGTTTGGAAGCTTTGTCACAACTCCGAGTTTCACGTATCTCTACGATCATCAGGCAACAGTTATTTTATTAGTAAGCCAATGAAAGACCATGAAGTGGAGAGTCAGTCCAGTGGCTACTGCCCGTCGTCAAGTGGCGACGGGCAGTGGAATCCGTTCTTGCCCGACGTCAAGTGACGACGGGCAGTGGAATCCGTTGTTGCCCGTCGTCACTTGACGATGGGCAGTGGATCCAGTTCCATCACCTTTGAGCAGGCAGGACCGCGCTTTCCAGCCCGCGTTGTTTGATCTGTCATTGGTCAACTCCAAGGCGGCAATCACGTGACATACGGGAATGATCTACGCCTGTGGATTTGCAACTTTGCTTGGAAGTGACCTACGCCTGTGGATTTGGAACTTTGCTTGGGGGTGATCTACGCCTGTGGATATGGGACTTTTCTTGGGGGTGATCTGCACCTGTGGATTTGGAACTTTATTTGGGGATGTTCTGCGCCTGTGGATTTGGCGCGGTGGAGCGGAGGAGCAGAGGACCAGAAGACCTGAGGAGCAGAGGAGCAGTGGAGCATACGAGCAGAGGACCAGAGGACCAGAGGACCAAAGAATCAGGAGAACCAGGAAGACCAAGAGGACCAGGAGGACCAGAGGACCAGGAGGACCAGGAAGACCAAGAGGACCAGGACCAGGACCAGGACCTGTACCAGGACAAAGGACTAGGACCAGGATCAGGACCAGGACGAAAACAAGGACCAGGACCAGGACCAGGATCAGGACCTGGACTCGGACCAGGACCAGGACCAGGACCAGGACCCGGACCAGAGGAGCACAGGAGTACAGGAGCAGAGGAGCCAAGGAGCACAGGAGCACAAGGCGCACAGGAGCACAGGAGCAGAGCAGCAGAAGAGCAGAAGAGCACAGGAGCACAGGAACACAGGAGCAGAGGAGCAGATGAGCTCAGGAGCAGAGGAGCGGAGGAGCGGAGGAGCTAAGGGGCGGAAGACCAGAGGATCTGAGGAGCAGAGGAGCAGTGGAGCATACGAGCAGAGGACCAGAGGACCATAGGACCAGATGACCAGGAGGACCAGGAAGACCAAGAGAACCAGGAAAAGGACCGGAGGACCGGAAGACCGGAGGAGCAGAGCAGCAGATGAGCAGAGGAACAGAGGACCAGAGTTTTTTATTATTATTTTATTTAAAGGATCTCCCAGAGGCGATGGCCTGTCGAGGGGATCTCCTGATACAAATCATGCAATAGAAATAAACAGTGAGGAGAACTACACGTGTTACAGTATATGCTACTTTTTGAAGTACATAATGAGCAATAAACACAGGGCTTGTTCAAAATAAAACAATTAGTTTAAATGTCCAGGGATATATCACTACAGTCAAATTTAAACCTTTTCACGTGCAAGCGATATTGCTGCTGAAATTTAGAAAGTGAATCTTGGGATGTCAGCCTTGGTGGAAGGCAGTTCCACAGCCTTCTGATTTTATGCATAAAGAGAGCGGAAGAGATGCGGCCGTGAGAATTGATAATCAGTTTGTTTGGTCGGCGTGCGCTAGAAGAGATATTGATGTCAAAGCGGGATAGATAATCTGGGTGCCAATGGATATACTAGAACAAAACCGTGATGGAAATGTAAGTGCTTCGGAAGTGAAGGGATTCCAAATTACCCAGCCTATTTAAATTATTCTTCGATTCATAGCGATCAAAATCAATCTTCGCAGACCGCAGCGGGCATCTGCAGATCTTTGCTTGTAAAATGTCAAGCGATTCTAGCTGGCTAGCGATAAGTCTGAAGCACCAGACAGGTATAGCGCACTCTACTGTGGGTCGTACATATGACTTGTGGAGTAGGGCAATATGTGCATGCGATAGATGACGGCACATAAAGCATAGCAAATTTACACGTTCGCAAAACGTTTTGAACACAGTAGTGAAATGGTCTTGGAATTTAAGATTAGTGCTGATCTCTACGCCTAGATGGATTACGGTACTTTTAACATTGAGTGGTACATTGTCCATTTGGACAGACGAAGAGGGTGGATGAGCATAGTTGGAGAACATGGTGGTCTTGGCCGCAGAAAACTCCCCGTGAATGCCTCTATCCCAGCGCTGGCAGCTTGTTAAATCCAACTGGAAATTGGCCAGATTATCACCAACCGATGTTATGAGTGTTGAGCAGTGTAACATCATCAGCAAATAGATAAGGGGCGCTGTGGGTCAATGTGTCGGGAAGGGTATTGATGTAGGTTAAAAACAGCAGGGGTGCAATATGTGAGCCTTGAGGAACACCAAAATTCAAAAGATATTGGGAAGAGATCGTCTCCTTAATCTTGACAGCTATCGTTCTCTGATTGAGGAAGCATTCAAACCATTTCACTGAGCTTCGAGTCATAAAAGTACTCAGCCTCTCAATCAGTGTTGGATGATGAACCTTATCGAAGGCTTTCCTGAAGTCAAGAAATGCAAAATCATATTTGTTGTGTTTGTCTGAGACACGAGCCATCTGGTGAGAAAGCAGGATAAGTTGGTCCGTTGCTGATCGCTGTGGAACACATGCAAATTGGGACGGTGATATTAATTTGTTGCGATGCAGGAAACTGCTGAGACTCACTGCTATCCGGTATTCGAAAAGACGACTGACGGGATGCAGCAGTGAAATAGGACGATAATTTTGTTAGAGGACCAGAGGACCAGAGGACCAGAGGAGGGGAGAAGCAGAGGACCCGAGGACCAGGAGGAGGGGAGAAGCAGAGGACCCGAGGACCAGGAGGATCACGAGGACCAGGAGGACCAGGAGGACCGGGAGGACCAAGAGCAGGACCAGCATCAGGACCACGACAAGGACCAGGTCAAGGACCAGGACAAGGACCAGGACCAGGACAAGGACCAGGACCAGGACGAGAACCCGGACCAGGACAGGACCAGGTCCAGGACCGGACCAGGACCGGACCAGGACCAGGACCAGAGGAGCAGAGGGGCAGAAAAGCAGAGGAGCGGAGGACCAGACGAGGAGAGAAGAACAGGAGAAAAGGAACAGGGGAGCAGAGGCGCAGAGGCGCAGATCAGAAGAGGAGCAGGGGAGCAGAGGAGCAGAGGAGCAGAGGAGCAAAGGAGCAGAGCACCAGAGCACCAGAGCACCAGAGGACCCGAGGAGCAGAGGAGCAGATGAGCAGAGGTGCAGTTGACCAGAGGAGCAGATGAGCAGAGGACCAGAACCAGGACCAGGACCAGAGGACCAGGACCAGAGGACCAGGACCACGACCAGGACCGGGACAAGGACTAGGACCAGGATCAGGACCAGCAGCAGGATCGGGACCCGGACCAGGGCCATGACCAGGACCAGAGGAGCAGAGGAGCAGAGGAGCAGAGGAGCAGCCCCAACTGTCCGCATCCCAAGCGGCCGTGCTTCAGCGTCTGCAGGCCAGATTGGCACGAGTCGTTTTGAGACAGTACGGTGTGTTTCCCTCCGCTACTGAACCGAAGGCATCTCTGTTCGCGCACCTGCAATGGCCCAGTCTGGCATGGCGGCGACACATCCAGTGCCTCCGGGAGCTCCATCACCTGGTCCACCACCAGACTACTGCCCTTATGGGTTATGGAGCTGAGCTATAGTCTCTCCACCAGCACGCGGCGCCCTCTCCAACTTGTACCGCCTGCAAGGGCGAACAGCTACTCGCGTGCTTCCTTCCTCTTTGTTACCGCTGCCACCTGGAATTCTCTCCCCACTGACATTAGAACCACCCAAATTAGTCATTGCTTTGTGTCTCGTGTCCGTACTATCTTTGCCAACACCCGCTTCGAACCCGCTGGTTTCATTCCTTCCAGAGTTTCTATAACATAGTAAATAATGGTATGGCTGATTTCTACAGTATGCATTTGTTAGAACCCTTCCTCTTCTCAATCTATATGTTATAATTTTGCAGATATATTCCCAGTAAGCCATGAACGGAGACCCCCTCGACTTAGGCCTCGGCCTTTGGGGAATCCATAAATAAAAATTTAAAAAAAAGCAGAGGACCAGATGAGCAGAGGACCAGAGGAGCAGAAGGGTGGAGGAGCGGAGGATCGGAGGAGCGGAGACGCGGAGGGGCGGAGGACCGAAAGACCAGAGCACCAGAGGACCAGAGGAGCAGAAGACCAGAGGACCAGAGAAACAGAAGACCAGAGGACCAGAGGACCCGAGGACCAGGACCAGGACCAGGACCAGGATCAGGATCAGGACCAGGACCAGGACCAAAACAAAAACCAGAGCCAGGACCAGGATCAGAACCGGGATCAGGACCAGGACCCGGACCAGGAAAAGGACCAGGACCAGGACTAGGACCAGGACCAGGAGCAGAGGGGCAGAGGGGAAGAGGTGCAGAGGTGTCGAGTCCTCTGGTCCTGGTCCTCCTTGGTCTTCTGGTTCGCCTAGCCCTCCTGGTCCTCTGGTCCTCTGGGTCTCCGCTCCTCTGCTCTTCTGCTCCTCTGCTCCTCTGCTCTTCTGATCCTCTGCTCCTGGTCCTGGTCCTGGTCCTGGTCCAGGTCCTGGTCCTGGTCTTGGTCCTGGTCCTGGTCCTGGTCCTGGTCCTGGTACTCCGCTCCTCCGCTTCTCCGCTCCTCTGCTCCTCTGGTACTGGTCCTGGTCCTGGTCCAGGTCCTGGTCCTGGTCCAGGTCCTGGTACCGATCCTTGTCCTGATCCTGGTCCTGGTCCTAATCCTTTCGCTGGTCCTGGTCCTGGTCCTGGTCCTGGTCCTGGTCCTGGTCCTGGTCCTGGTCCTGGTCCTGGTCCTGGTCCTGGTCCTGGTCCTGGTCCAGGAGCAAAGGAGCAGAGGAGCAGAAGCACAGATGAACAGAGGAGCAGAGGAGAAGGGGAGCAGGGGAGCAGAGGAGCAGAAAAGCAGAGGAGAAGGGGAGCAGGGTAGTGAAGGAGCGAAGGAGCGGAGGACCGGAGGAGCGGAGGAGCGGAAAAGCGGAGGAGCGGAGTAGCGGAGGAGCCGAAGAGCCGAAGAGCCGAGGAGCGGAGGAGCGGTGGAGCGGAGGATCGGAGGAGCGGTGGGGCGGAGGAGCGGAGGAGCGGAGGACCAGAGGACCAGAGGACCTGTGGAGCAGAGGAGCAGTGGAGCATACGAGCAGAGGACCAGACGACCTGAGGAGCAAAAGAGCAGAGAAGCAGAGGGGCAGAGGAGCAAAGGGGCCGAGGTCCTGGTCCTGGTCCCTGTCCTGGTCCTCGACCTGGTCCTGGTCCTGGTCTCGGTGCTGGTCCTGGTCCTGGTCCTGGTACTGGTCCTGGTCCTGGTTCTGGTTCTGGTTCTGGTTTAGGTCCTGGTACTCTGGTCCTCTGGTCCTGGTCCTCCTGGACCTCCTGGTCCTCTGGTCCTCTGCTCCTCTGCTAATCTGCTACTCTGCTACTCTGCTCCTCTGGTCCTCGCGTGCTCTGCTCCTCTGTTCCTCTGCTCTTCTGCTCCTCTGCTCCTCTGCTCTTCTGCTCTTCTGCTCCTCCGCTCCTCTGCCCTTCTGCTCTTCTGCTCCTGGTACTCTGGTCCTCCTGGTCCTCCTTGTCCCCCCGGTCCTTCTGGTCCTCTGGTTCTCTGCTACTCTGCTTCTCTTATCCTCTGCTTCTCTGCTCCTCGGCTCCTCTGTTCCTCTGCTCCTCTGCTCCTCTGCTTCTCTGCTCCTGTGCTCCTGTGCTCCAATGCCCTTTTGCTCTTCAGCACCTCTGCTCCTCTGCTAATCGGCTCCTCTGCTCCTCTGGTACTGGTCTTGGTCAAGTTCCTGGTCCTGGTCAGGGTCCTGGACCTGGTCCTGGTCCTGGTCCTTGTCCTCTCGCTAGTCCTGGTTCTGGTCCTGGTCCTAGTCCTTCTCCTGGTCCTGCTCCTCGTCCTGGTCCTGGAGTAGAGGAGCAGGGGAGCAAAGGAGCCGAGGAGCAGGGGAGCAGGGTAGTGGAGGAGCGGAGAAGCAGAGGAGCGGAGGAGCGAAGGAGTGGAGAAGCGAAGGAGCGGAGAAGCGGAGGAGGGGAGGAGCGGAGGAGCGGAGGTGTGGAGGAGCAGATAAGCGGAGGAGCGGAGGAGCGGAGGAGCGGAGGAGCGGAGGAGCGGAGGAGCGGAGGACCGGAGGAGTGGAGGAGCGGAATAGCGAAGGAGCGGAGGAGTGGAGGGGCGGAGGAGCGGAGGAGAGGAGGACCAGAGGACCAGAGGACCTGAGGACCTCAGGAGCAGAGGAGCAGTGAACCATACGAGCAGAGGACCAGAGGACCAAAGGAGCGGAGGGGCGGAGGGGCGGAGGGGCGGAGGAGCGAAGCAGCGGAGGAGCGAAGGAGAGGAGCGGAGGAGCGGAGGGGTGGGGGGGGGGGGGCGAAGAAACGGAGGAGCGGAGGACCAGAGGACGAGAAGACCTGAGGAGCAGAGGACCAGAGGACCAGAGGAGCGGATGGCGGAGGAGCAGAGGAGCAGAGGAGCGGAGGAGAGGAGGAGCGGAGGGGCGGAGGACCAGAGGACCAGAGGACCTGAGGAGCAAAGGAGCAGAGGAGCAGTGGAGAATCCGAGAAGAGGACCAGAGTACAAGAGGACTAGAGGAGCGGAGGAGCGCAGGAGCGGAGGAGCGGAAGGGCGGAGGAGCGGAGGAGCGGAGGAGCAGAGGGCCAGGAAGACCAAGAGAACCAGGAGGACCAGAGAACCATGAGGACCAGGAAGACCAAGAGGACTAGGCAGACCAGGAGGACCAGGAAGATCAAGAGGACTAGGCGGACCAGGGGAACGAAGAGGACCAGGACCAGGACCAGGACCAGGACAAGGACCAGGACAAGGACCAGGACAAGGCCCCCGGACCAGGACCAGAACTAGTACCAGGACGAGGACGAGGACGTGGACCAGCATCAAGACAGGGATCAGGGCCAGGATCAGGACCAGGACCAGGACCCGGACCAGGAAAAGGACCAGGACCAGGACCAGGACTAGGACACGGAGCAGAGGAGCATAGGAGCCGAGGGGAAAAGGTGCAGAGGAGAAAAGGAGCAGAGGTCCTGGTTCTGGTCCTGGTTCTGGTTCTGGTACTCTGGTCTTCTGGTACTGGTCCTCTTTGTACTCATGGTTCTTCTGGTCCTCCTCGTTTTTCTGCTCCTCCTGGTCCTCCTGGTCCTCTGGTCCTCTGGTCCTCTGGTCCTCTGGTCCTCTGCTCCTCTGCTAATCTGCTCCTCTGCTCCACTGGTCCTCTGCTCCTCTGCTCCTCTCCTCCTCTGCTCCTCTGCTCTTCTGCTCCTCTGCTCCTCTCCTCCTCTGCTCTTCTGCGCCTGGTACTCTGGTTCTCTGGTCCTGGTGCTACTGGTCTTCCTGGTCCTTCTGGTATTCCTGGTATTCCTGGTCCTCGTGGTTCTCCTGGTTCTCCTGGTCCTCTGGTCCTCTGGGCGTCTGGTTCTCTGCTCTTCTGCTGCTCTGCTCCTGTGCTCCTGTGCTCCTGTGCTCCTGTGCTCCTCTGCACCTCTGCTCCTCTGCTCCTCTGCGCCTCTGCTCCTATGCTCCTCAGCTCCGTTTCCTGGTCCTAGTACTGGTCCTGGTGCTGGTCCTTTTCCTGGTCTTGGTCCTGCCCCTGGTTCTGGTCTTGGTCCTGGTGCCGCTCCTCCACTCCTCCGCTCCTCCGCTCCTCTGCTCCTCTGCTTCTCTGTTACTGGTCCTGGTCCTGGTCCTGGTCCTGTCGCTGGTCCTGGTTCTGGTTCTGGTCTTGGGCCCTGTCCTGGTCCTGATCGTGGTCCTGGTCCTTGGAGCAGAGGAGTAGAGGTGCAGAGGAGCCGAGGTTCAGAATAGCAGGGTAGTGAAGGAACGGAGGAGCAGAGGAGCGAAGGAGCGGAGGAGCGGCGAAGCGGAGGAGCGCGCAGCGGAGGAGCGGAGGAGCGGAGGAGGGAAGGAGCGGAGGGAAGGAGGACCAGAGGACCAGAGGACCTGAGGACCTGAGGAGCAGAGGAGCAGTAGATCTGTGGAGCATATGAGCAGAGGAGCAGTGAAGCATACGAGCAGAGAACCTGAGGACCAGAGGAGTGGAGGATCGGAGAAGCGGAGGAGCGGAGGGGTGGAGGAGCGGAGGAGCGGGGGACCAGAAGACCACAGGACCTGAGGAGCAGAGAAGCAGTGGAGCATACGAGCAGAGGACCAAAGAACCAGAGGACCAGAGGACCAGAGGACCAGAGGACCAGGAAGACAAAGAGGATCAGGAGGACCAGGAGGACCAGGAGGACCAGGAGGACCAGGACCAGGACCAGGACCAAGACAAGGACCAGGACAAGGACCAGGACCCGCACCAGCATAAGGCCCAAGGACCAGGCCCAGCACCAGGACCAGAACCTGGACCAGGAACAGGATCAGGACAATGACCTGGACCAGGATCAAGACAAGGACCAGGACCAGGACCGGGACCAGGATCATTACCAGGATCAGGACCAGGACCAGGCCCAGGACCAGGACCAGAGGACCAGGACCGGGACCATGACTAGGATCAGGACCATCAGCAGAGGAGCGGAGGTGCAGAGGAGGAGAGGGGCAGAGGGGCAGAGGAGCAGAGGAGCAGAGGAGGAGAGGAGGAGAGGTCCTGGTCCTGGTCCTTGTCCTGGTCCTGGTCCTGGTCCTGGTCCTGGTCCTGGTCCTGGTCCTGGTCCTGGTCCTTATCCTGGTCCTGCTACTGGTGTTGGTCCTGGACCTGGTCCTGGCCCTGATCTTAGTCCTGGCCCTGGTCCTGGTCCCGGTTCTGCTCCTGCTCCTAGTGCTGGTCCTGGTCCTGGTTTTGGTATTGGTTCTGGCCCTGGTACTCTGGTCCTCTGATCCTGGTCATCCTGGTCCTACTGGTCCTCCTCGTCGGCCTTGTCCTCCCGGTCCCCCTGATCCTCCTGGTCCTATGGTCCTCTACTCCTCTGCTCCTCTGCTAATCTGCTCCTCTGCGCCTCTGGTGCTCTGGTCCTCAAGTCCTCTGCTCCTCTGCTCCTCTGCTATTCTGGTCTTGTGCCCCTCTGCTCCTCTGCTCTTCTGATCTTCTGCTCCTGGTACTAGGGTCCTCTGGTCCTGGTCATCCTTGTTCTCCTCGTCCTCTGGTCCTCTGGTTCTCTGCTCCTCTGCTCCAATGCTCCTCTGCTCCTCTGCTTCTCTGTTCCTCTGCGCCTGTGCCACTGTACACCTGTGCGCCCGTGCTCCTTTGTACTTCTGCTCCTCAGCACCTCTGCTCCTCTGCTCCTCGGCTCCTCTGCTCCTCTGGTACTGGTCTTGGTCAAGGTCCTGGCCCTGGTCCGGGTCCCGGACCAGGTCCTGGTCCTGGTCCTCTCGCTGGTTCTGGTTCTGGACCTGTTCCTGGTCCTTGTCCTGGTCCTGGAGCAGAGGAGCAGAGGAGCAGAGGAGCAGAGGAGCAGAGTAGCAGAGGAGCAGAGTAGCAGGGTAGTGGAGGAGCGGAGGAGCAGAGCAGCGGAGGAGTGGAGGAAAGAAAGACCGAAGGAGCGGAGGACCAATCGAGCGGAGAAGTGGAGAAGCAGAGGAGCGGAGGAGCGGAGGAGCGGAGGATCGGAGGGGTGTAGGAGCAGAGGAGCGGGGGACCAGAAGACCAGAGGACCTGAGGAGTAAAGGAGCAGTGGAGCATATGAGCAGAGGACCAGAGGAGCGGAGGGGCGGAGGGACGGAGGAGCGGAGGAGAGGAGGAGCGGAGGGGATGAGGGGCGGAGGAGCGAAGGAGCGGAGGACCAGAGGACCAGTAGACCTGAGGAGCAGAGGACCAGAGGACCAGAGGATCAGAGGATCAGAGGACCAGAGGAGTGGAGGGGTTGAGGGGCGGAGGAGCGGAGGAGCGGAGGAGAGGAGGAGCGGAGGGGTGAAGGGGCGAAGGAGCGGAGGAGCGGAGGACCAGAGGACCTAAGGAGCAGAGGAGCAGAGGAGCAGTGGAGAATCCGAGCAGAAGACCAGAGTACCAGAGGACTAGAGGAGCGGATGAGCGGAGGAGCGGAGGGGCGCAGGTGCGGAGGAGCGGAGGACCAGAGGGCCAGGAAGACCAAGAGGACCAGGAGGACCAGGAGGATCAGGACGACCAGGAGGACCAGGAGGACCAAGAGGACTAGGCGGACGAAGAGGACCAGGAGGACAAAGAGGACCAGGACCAGAACCAGGACAAGGATCAGGACAAGGACCAGGACCAGGACCAGGACAAGGCCACAGGACCAGGACCAGGACCAGCACCAGGACCAGAACCCGGACCAGGACCAGGACCAGGATGAGGCCCAGGCCAAGAACCAGGAGCAGGACCAGAGGAGCAGATGGGCAGAGGAGCAGAGGAGCAGGGGAGCAGAGGACCAGATGAACAGAGGAGCAGAGAAGCAGAGGTCCTCGTCCTAGTTCTGGTCCTGGCCTTTGGTCCTGGTATTCTAGTCCCCTGGTCCTTGTCCAGGACCAGAACCAGGACTAGGGCCAGGACCAGGACGAGGACCAGAACTAGGACCAGGACGAGGACCAGGACAAGGACCAGGACCGGCACCAAGACCAGGATCAGAGCCAGGATCAGGACGAGGACCAGGACCCGGACCAGGAAAAGGACCAGGACCAGGACCAGGACCAGGACACGGAGCAGAGGAGCATAGGAGCAGAGAGGCAGAGGGGCAGAGGGGCAGAGGAGCAGAGGAGCAAAGGAGCAGAGGTCCTGGTCCTGGTCCTTGCTCTGGTTCTGGTCCTGGTACTCTGGTCTTCTGATCCTGGTCCTCCTTGTCCTCCTGGTTCTCCTGGTCCTCCTCGTTCTCCTTTTCCTCCTGGTCCTCCTGGTCCTCCTGGTCCTCTGGTCCTCTGGTCCTCTGGTCTTCTGCCCCTCGACTAATCTGCTCCTCTGGTCCTCTGCTCCTCTGCTACTCAGCTCCTTTGCTCTTCTGCTCTTCTGCTCCTCTGCTCCTCTGCTTTTCCGCTCTTCTGCTCTTCTGCTCCTGGTACTCTGGTCCCCTGGTTCTGGTCCTACTGGTCTTCCTGGTCTTCCTGGTCCTCTTGGTACTCCTGGTCTTCCTGGTCCTCGTGGTTCTCCTGGTGCTCCTGGTCCTCCTGGTCCTCTTTTTCTCTGGTCCTCTGGTTCTCTGCTCTTCTGCTGCTCTGCTTCTCTGCTCCTGTGCTCCTCTGCGCCTATGCTCCTCTGCTCCGTGTGCTGCTCTAGTCTTCTGCTCTTCAGCACCTCTGCTCTTGTGCTCTTCTGGTTCTGGTCCTGG